CTTTTATTATTGAAACAAAAAAAATCAAATATTTGGGAATAAATCTAACAAAAGAGGTAAAGGACCTATACAAAGAAAACTATAAAACACTGTTAAAAGAAATAGAAGAAGACACAAAGAAATGGAAAGACATCCCCTGCTCATGGATTGGAAGAATAAACATTATTAAAATGGCCATCCTACCAAAAGCAATATACAGATTCAATGCTATTCCAATCAAAATTTCAATGTCATTCTTCAAAGAAATAGAACAATTATTGATGAAATTCATATGGAGTCACCAAAAACCCTGAATAGCCAAAGCTCTCCTGAAAAAATAAAAGAAGGGAATGGAGGCATCATACGCCCAGACTTCAAACTATACTACAAAGCCATAATCATCAAAACTGCATGGTATTGGAACAAGAACAGACACACAGACCAATGGAATCGAATAGAAAATCCAGAAATAAACCCACAGATTTATGGTCAACTAATCTTTGACAAAGGAGCAAAGAATATGCATTGGAACAAAGAAAGTCTGTTCAATCAATGGTGCTGGGAAAACTGGGTCACTACATGCAAAAGAATGAAGCTTGACTTCTACCTGACACCATGCACAAAAACCAACTCAAAATGGATTAAAGAACTAGACATAAGACCTGAAACCATAAAATACATAGAGGGAAATATAGGCGAAACACTCCATGATATGCACATAAAAGACATCTTTACAGACACATCATCCAAAGCAGTGATAGTGAAGGCAAAGATCAACAGCTGGGACTACATAAATTAAAGAGCTTCTGCACAGCAAAGAGACAATAACAAAACAAAGAGAAACCCCACCAACTGGGAGAGCATTTTTGCACACAACACTAATGATAAAGGACTGATCACAAAAATCTACAAAGAGCTGATGAGACTCAACAAAAACAAAGAAAGTAATCCAGTCAAAAAATAGGCAGAAGAGCTAAAAAGAAACTTCTCTGAAGAGGAAATGCAAATGGCCATCAGGCATATGAAAAAATGTTCAACATCACTTGTAATCCGGGAAATGCAAATCAAAACTACCATGAGATACCATCTTACACCAGTGAGAATGGCACATATTAAAAAAACTAGCAACAACAAATGTTGGCGAGGTTGTGGAGAAAAAGGAACTCTCCTGCACTGTTGGTGGGAGTGCAAACTGGTCCAACCACTATGGAGAGCTGTGTGGAGATTTCTGGACCTACTAAACATAGAGCTTCCATATGATCCAGCAGTTCCACTCCTAGGTATTTACCCAAAGGACATAGAAACATCAATTCCAAAGAGCACCTGCACCCCTATGTTTATAGCAGCACTATTTACAATAGCTAAGCTTTGGAAACAACCCAAATGCCCAAAAATAGATGGCTGGATCAAGAAGATGTGGTACATCTACACCATGGAATATTACTCAGCATTCAAAAAAGATAAGCACATGCAATTTGCAGCAACATGGATGGCGCTGGAAGGGATCATGCTCAGTGAAATAAGCCAGAAAGAAAAAGAAAAATACCGGATGGTCTCACTCATAGCAGGAATCTAGAAAACTTAAATAAGGGACCAGGAAAAAGAATAACTATAAGAAAGAAAATATCCAAATCAACAAACAACTATGAATCAGAGACACTCTATGGGGGGTGGGAGGTGGGGAAAGGAGGGTTTGGGGTTAAAATAAGGGGTTGTAATTGTATGGGGAATATAAAAAATGAAATTTAAATAAAATGCGAAAAAAAAGTTAAAGACTCTTGGAATCCAACATATGAATGTTTAGATAGGTAGGTAGGTAGATAGATAGATAGATAGACAGACAGGTAGACAGATAGATAACCCTGAGGGTGTCTTAATGGAAGCCATCATGTGCTGTCATGCATGTAGTTCCATAAAATTACACATTTTCATAAGTCAACCCTTTTGATATGGAAATACTGAATGCAGTGAAGAGTTGGTAACCACTCATCCAGCAGCCTCAACATACTTTATAAGCACAACTCTCAGCCTGGTGACTTCAACAGGGCCCTCATTATAGCACAGAAACACACTGACAGCCACGAAAAATGTATTTTTCTCTTGACTTAGTCATAAATCTGTTGTGTGACTTCAGGTTAGTCAATAACTCTCCTGAAACCTAAGTTTCCTCATTAGTAAAGTGAATAAATGTAAGTAAAGGAGTAAGACTGAATAGTATTTTATAAAGTCTTTCCTATTCTATCATTCCATGATACAATCCTTTTTGTACTAGGATACACTAATATTCTGGTTTTCTAACATGATTCTGACAGTGTTGGAAAGTACCCCCAGATAGCTTGATTGAAGTCAGAAACTACACCAAAGAATAGAGGTTGCCTTGCTTCAAATGCTTCAGCAAATACAAATTCAGGGAACCATAGATTAGACCTGTGACTCTCTTTTTCAAAATAGCTCTAGGTGCTTTGAAAGATAAAATAGGTTAAGGAATTAGAAGACTTGACCAGTTTTGGCATCCATATTTGGCATTTTGAGATTGTAAGAGCAATCTCAAGAGTTTCTTAAGGGTTCAGAATAGTAACCCTACTTTTGATTAAAGCAGAAAAAAAAACACCTTTGTGGAGACTTTATTTCCCTAAGGTTAATACCTATGAGAGAGACTGCTGGGTTGAATGGTAGGTCTGTTTTTCAGAGGGATGTACAATTTTGTTTCCTCACCAACAATGTATGAGAGTTCCAATTGCTGTGCATCCTCACCAGGATTTGGTATTGTCAGGTGTTTTTGTTTTTTCATTCTGCACCACCTATTAACATGATGATGTGATTTTTCATCTTGAGTCTGCATAATTCGACGATTTTCAAATATTGAATCGGTCTTGCATTCCTAGTATAAACCCCTTTGGTATTATACATTCATCTATATATGTGTACAGATACATTTTTTAAATGTCTTTATCTAGTTTTGGTATCAGGGTAATGTTTCCTTCATAGAATGAGTTGGGAAGTGTTTCCTTATCTCATTTTCTGGAAAGGATTGCAGAATTGGCATTAATTCTTCTTGAAATGTTTGGTATAGTCTCCAGTGAAACTATGTAGGTGGGTGATTTCTTCGGGGATGGGGTTTAAATGAAGAATTTACTTAGAAAACGATTCAAATTATCTAGTACATAGTGGGTAAGTTGTGGTAACCAGTACTTTTCAAAGAATTAGTCTATTTTATTTAAGCTGTCAAATTTATGGGTTTAGAGTTATTCATATTTCCTTATCCTTTTCATGTTTGCAGAGTCTATAAAGAGATACCCTGCTTCATTCACAATATTAGTAAAATTTGTGACTTCTATTTTTCTTTGCTTTTTTGTTTTGTTCTTCTATTTTTTCCAAGAATAAGCTCTTAGTCTTGTTGACCTTCTCTATTGTTTTACTGTATTCACTTTTATTGATATCTGCCCTTGTGTTCATTATTTCTTTAGTTTGGCTTGCTTTGAGTTTATTTTGCTTTTCTTTTTCTAGTTTCTTCAGGTAGGAGCTAAGATTATTGATTTGGGACTTTCCTTCTTCTAATATATGCCTTTAGTGCTGTAAATTTCCCTCTCAGCACTACCATAGATGATTCTCACAAATTTCTGATATGTTCTATTTTCATTTTCATTCATTTCAATGCTTTTTTTTTTTCATTTTACTTGAGACTTTCTCTTTGACTCATTTGTGATTTAAAAGTGTGTTTAGTTTCCAAATATTTGGTGGTTTTCTTTATCCTTTTCTGTTCTTGATTTCTAATTTGATTCCATTATGGTCAGAAAACACACTTTGATTCAATTATTTTACATGTGTTGAGGCTTACTGGATGGCCCAGGATGTCTACATTGATATATGCTTTGTGGGTACTTGAAAAGAATGTGTATTCTGCTACCGTTGGTGGAATCCTCTATGTCAATTAGATCCTGTTGGCTGATGGTATTGTTGAATTTTTCTATTATGTGTTTGCTAAAGGAGAGTCCACTATATTTGCCTGTATGTTTGCTCTTACCATGTTCTTCCTGTTTGATGTACAAAATTCCTTTTATGACATTTGCTTTCTGTTAAGAGCACTTCTTTCAGTTATTCTTTCTGAGTATATCTGTTAGCAACACATTCTTTTCATTTTCCTCCTACTGAGAACATTCATTTCCATATTCATTGGTTGCAGAATTCTAGGTGATACTTCTTTCAGGATTTGAAAAATGTTGTTGTGCTTCCTTTTGCTTCCAAGGTTTCTGATAATTTCACTGCCACTCAGATAGGTTTTCCCCTGTAAGTAATACACTATTTCTCTCTGGTTGTTTTCAACAATTTTTCCTCTTCGCCTTTAGTCTTTTGAAAAGTTAAACTATATGTATCTTGGTGTAGACTGCTTTCGGTTTATCTTATTGTATTTTTTCTCAGCTTCTTGAATCTATAGGTTTATGTTTCTTGCCAGTTTGGGGAAAATTTTAGCCACTATTTCTCTAGATTTTTTTTAACCACTTTCTCCTCTTTGTAGGCCTCAAATGACACAAATATTGGATCTTTTACTAAAATCCCACTTGTCCCCAAGGCTCTATTCTTTTTTGTCCAGCCTGTTTTTTTCTCTTTTGCTCAGATTTGATAGTTTCTACTTTTTTATTTTAAAGTTCATTGATTCTTCCCTTTGCTCTATCCATTCTGCTGTTCAGCTCATATATTGAGCTTTTTATTTCAGTTACTATAGTTTTTAGTTCTAAGATTTCCATTTGGTTCTTCTTTATAACTTTTATTTTTTTGCTGAGGCTTTTAAACTTTTCCATTTGTTTCAAGTGTATATTAATAGCTCACTAAAATACTTTTGTGATGTTTGCTTTAAAATCTTTGTTGGATAATTCTAACAGGTTGTCTTGGCATTAGGGTCTGTTGTATTTTTTCGTTAAGTTTGAGAAATTCCTGGTTGTTGGTATGATGATTGAGTTTCAACCAAAACCAGGTCTTTTTAGATATAAAATTCTCAATTTCATTTTAATCTTGTGTTTTAGCAGGTCTCCTCTGACATCAATTTGGTGGTGTGGGAAATCAACTTACTACTTCCAGGTAGGTTTGAAAATCAAGTTCTCCATTTAGCTTCTACTACTACCAGGGAGCTCATTACAATCTCATCTTTGGGTTCTGAGGTTCCTACTTGGTCTATCTTATTTGCTGCCTTTTGAGTGTTCATATGATTGTTTTATATATAATGCCCACATTTTAAGTTGTACCTAAGGAGTTGGAGAAGCCATTTATATTTGCTAGGTGTGGAGGTTGAGGCCTCCACTGACATCAAACTGGCTGGGAAAAGCAGGGTAACCTCATTACTAATTTCCACATGGCTTTCACTAGCACTGAGAAAGGGAATAGCCTATTTACTACTGACTCTCCAAGGAGCCTTCAGAGAAGACATAGGAGGGATATCTCATTACTTCCAGCTGGCAATGAAAGGGTAGTGGCCTTTTTACAACTAATTAGGGCTGAAAGTCTTGACTTTCCATTATGTCTCCTCTGACAACACCCATGAAAAAGAGGAAGAAGTACATTGCTGCCACCAGGTATGCATGAAGGTCCAGGTTCCCCATGTGGTTTCCACTGTTAAAGAGTTGGGAATGGTTGGATAATGAACATTTAATATGACAGAGATGAAAGTTTCAACTCTTCAATTGGCCTTTCTCATATGTTCTCAGTTCTCAGCCAATGGAAAACACTCAGTGAATGATACCTGAAGTAAATCAAACAAAATTGAAATGACTTACAATGAATATATATTTTCGTATCTTCAAGAAGACATATATATATATTTGGGAAACAGAGAAATTAAGAGTGAATCAGTTCATGTTGATCTATTTACCTGTCTGAATGCCAGGAAGGATGCTGAGGAACAAGAACAAAGAGGTGAAGCCATATATGAAAGTGAGTTTATATGGAATTACAAAAGACCCTGAGTACCCAAAGCAATCCTGACAAAAATGAACAGTGGTATCACACTCCCAGACTTCAAACTATATTGCAAAGCTATAGGAATCAAAGCAGTATGTATTGGAGTGAAAAGACTCACAGACCAAGGAAATAAAATTGAGAGCCTAAAAATAAACCCATGCTGCTACAAAGAGTTAATCTATAGCAAAAGAGCCAAAAGCATACAATGGAGAATGGAAAGTCTCTTCCACAGGTGGTGCTGGGAAAATGGGACAGAATACTGAAGGAATGAAATGACTGCTTTCTCACACCACACACAAAAATTAACTCAAAATCAATCAAAGATTTGGATATAAGTCCTAAAACCATAAAATGCATAGACGAAAACAGACAAAACACTCCACAACATTACAAGAATGTCTTTAGGGATTTGACTCTAATGGCAAAGGAAACAAAAGCAAACATAAGTATATGGGACTATGTAAAATTAAAAGGCTCCTGTTAAGCAAAAGAAACTCTCTTTAAATGAAAGGATACCCTATCAAATGGGACAAAATATGTGTACATCACACATCCAACAAGGGGTAATATCCAAGACCTACAAAGAACTGTTATTACTCAACAACAAGAAAACAAAAAAAGAAAAAAAAAAGTGGGTAGAAGGGTCAAATAGACACTTTTCTTACAGGCACATGAACAAAATGCTCACATCGCTTATCATTAGGGAAATACAAGTCAACACCAGAATGAGATACCACTTCACACCCAGAAGAATGGCCCACATTGAAAAGACTAGAAACAACAGATATGGTGAAGGTATGAAGAGAAAGGAATCCTCATACACTGTTAGTGGGCATGCAGAATGATCCTGTCCCTGTGAAAAACAGTGTGGAGGTTCCTCAAAATATTGAAAATGCATCAACCATATGCCCAGCAATTCCATCCCTAGGTATCTACCTGAAGAATGCAAAAACACTTATTTGAAGGGATATATACATGCCTATGTTCATTGCAGCACTACTTACAATAGCCAACTTAAGGAAACAACTTAAATACTCAATGACAGGTGAGTGGATTAAGAAGATGTGGTATATATGATCCAGCAACTCCACTCCTAGGTATTTACCCAAAGGACACAGAAACATTAATTCCAAAGGGCACCTGCAACCCTATGTTTATAGCAGCACTATTTACAATAGCTAAGCTTTGGAAACAACCCAAATGTCCAAAAATAGATGACTGGATCAAGAAGATGTGGTACACATACATAACGGAATATTACTCAGCAATCAAAAAGATAAACTCATGCAATTTGCAGTAACATGGATGGAGCTGGAAGGGATCATGCTCAGTGAAATAAGCCAGAAAGAAAAAGAAAAATACCAGATGGTCTCACTCATAGCAGGAATTTAGAAAACCTAGCTAAGAGTTAGGACCAGGAAAAAGACAAATTGCAATAAAGTAAAAATGAAAATCAACAAGCAACTATAGGCCAGAGACACAGTACAATGGGGGGCAGGGGAAGGAGAAGAGGGATTAGGGTCAGAATAAGGGGGGGTGGGAATTGTATGGGCAATATAACCAAAATGAAAATGCATACATTATGCAAAAATGAAAAATGATGTAAGAATTATATAAAATAATTTATATTAAAAAAATAAAAAAATAAAAAATCAACAAGCAAAAAAAGATGGTGTATATATAATTAACAGAATACTCTCAGCTATAAAAAAAAAAAATCGTGTTATTTGTGACAACCTATGTAGAACTCCAAGGGATTATGCTAAGAGAAGTAAGTCAGAAGATGGATATACCAGATTATTTCACTTAGATACAGAACATAAAAAACAAAGTGAACAAGCAGACAAAAATGAACCCAGAACTGAGGCTTCCAGAAGCAGGGGGTGGGGCATAGAGAATAAAGGGGGGAAAGGGACACCATGGTCTGTGGTGGAGGATTATGAGTACTTTGGTGGTGGTGTGGTGTGGTAACATACATCTGAAGTTGTGTGAACCTATAACTGAGTCATACACCGTGTTGCAAACCATTATTACCTCAATGAAAAATAATATAATTTAAAAAATTAAAATAAACCAGAAACTGAGTTTGGGGGAAAGTGAATGGGAAGAAATATGACATCTGATGACTTGTTATTACTATTCTAAGTATAATTATGTTAGAGTCATTTCCAAAGAAAGACGAAGAAGACTTACAATAAAATGGATATGTGGAATAAGTACAAGAAGAAAGAATTCCAAAGTTGATTACTCTTCTAATCATATTTAATATTGATTTGGACAGGCTATAAAGTAGTGCTTTTCAAACCATCTTGGTGAAGGACCAGTTAGGACTTTTATTTTCTTTTGATAATCTGCTATGGATTGGCACTATTATAAATTGCAATAAAATATCACAGCAATGTCCAATTGTTATACAGGCTTCAAACCACCTACTTTACTCTCTGTACTTACCTTCTTGTGAGCAGGGAAATAGTTCATGGGCTGGCAGTGCCTACTCTTAGAGTAGCACTGCTCTCCAACGCAAGATGTACAGACCTCAAATTCAAATTCAAAATGTGACTTAACTCTAGATGCCCAGGGAAACGTCTAACACGAGGGCATTCTACTTCCATCCCCCTGCTTGCATTAATCAGGGTAGGCCAGCTTATTCTGTCACTAAAAGTGCTCCAATCTCAGGGTGTTGACACAGATCTGTTTCTTGCTCACTCTGCATAATGAGTCAGCAGAAGGCTCTGTTCTACACACCCACTACCTCAGTGGCTGTAGCAGGAAAACTGAGTTTGAAAAGTTGCACATGTGCTTTCCATGGCCTCACATTTTATTGGTTATGAATAGTAACATATCTTTGTAAATGAAATTAGGAAACTAGGGGGCCTCCCTGGTGGTACAGGGGTTAAAGACAGTGCTATCAGGCTATCGCCAGTCACTGCAGAATGAGTTCCATGCCCGGCCAGCCAGGGAGTAACCCACATGGTACAGCAGACCTCTCCTGTCTCGCCTGTTGCTCCCCTCAGCAGTGTATTTCAGTCAATCCACCTGTTCCACTCCCCACTCTGTCTTTGTTGAATCCTCTCACAGCCCGTACCTCTGGCTTACACCCCGTTTCTTATATGTATGCATAAATAAATCTTTTTTTTTAAAAAAAGAAACTAGGAAACTAGGGCATACCACCTTAACCACAAGCAACACAGAGGAAGGTATGCCTGAAAAGCAACTAATAAAGAACTACTTCTTTCTTTCCCTCACAACTCCTGCGTGTTGGGTTAGAGGTGTGGAAAGGGACAGGTGATTCTTAATTCGCTAGTATTTTCTTGGTTGTTACTGGGTTTTGGTCCAAGCTTGGTTACTGACTTTATGGCAGGCATCCAAATACCCCATTTGTTGGGGTCCGGTATAAGCTCTTTGGGACTCCTGGGGGGATAACTACCCATTGCACAATTCCCTAATGTAGGAACCCTCCTTCAGATCCCATCTTTGGAGTTACATCCCACAGTCGTGTTCAGCTGGGGTCTCCTCATCCAGAGGCAGGCCTCTTAGGGGAGATTCTAGGGAGCTGTCTCAAGCCAACTTCTTTCTATACTGTTTGCTCTGTGGGAAATTCATGCAGACTTGATTTGCCAAGTAGGAATGTGCCAGTTCTCTGCTACTGGCCCCTCTCTCTACTTTTCTCCCATCGCTTTTCAAAAAGGTAAAGGGAGCAGATCAGAAAATTCACTGCATAATCAGATATCTGTCTGAAGAATGTGATTCCCATTCCCCCAGACACCTCACACTATGAAGAGTTCTTTTGGAGGGACCTTCCCGGTTTAGAGGGGAAATACTGGTCTGTAATTTTCCTTTTCTTGTGGTGTCTTTATCTGGTTTTGGTATTAAGGTAATGTTGGCATTGTAAAACATAGTAGGGAACATTTCCTTCTCTTGGCTTTTTAGAAATAATTTAAGCAAGATGGATATAAATTCTTCTTTAAAGTTTTGATAGTATTTGTTTGAAAAGTCATCTGGTCCTGGGATTTTGTTTTGGGGAGGTTTTTATTGCTGTTTCAATTTCCAGGCATTTGATCAGTTTATTCAATGCTTCTGTTTCTTCCTGATTTATTTTTTGTAAAATATAATGATCTAGAAGT